TTTTTCCTAATAAACAATCGTGGTACAAAGCTCAATAAAAATATTAATTAATAACTTACGTTTAATTTTAGCTTTACTCCCATTTTCTTTTCGTGGCAGGATTCAAAGGATACATGGTTAATCCTTAATTTGTCGTAGGGAAACTTTTCTAACTAAGTGCAAAACCTTCCTACAGAAAATAATTAATACTAATAATCACAAAACAATAACATTTATCTCACTGCAAAAACATTTGCTATAACTTTAAAACTTACGAAGGATACATACTTATTTTATTATAAACCTTTTAGCCAATTTATCTTTTTATGCTTGTCAAAGTATGCTTTTTGTATCATTGAGTAATTAGCACGAACTACGAATACGAATTTATCATAAATCAATTAATAGTAATAATAATAATAGGTTGGCGCTTACACTATGTTATGGGGTATCTCACATCGTGGCTGAAATGCAAAAAAGCCAAACTAACTAAAAGTTTTTATTGCATAAAACGATGTGGGGACTCATAATTCGCTGAATTGCATCATAATCAATGCAAAAGTGAATTTTGGATTTTTAGTTAGTTACGGCTTGCATAAATTTATGTTATTTAGCATTACAAATGAATTTCATTAAACATTTTAAGCTGCAATAACACATATTTGATATAAACCTTAAGCAAATACTTCAAAGATGTATGATTCGTTCACGCGACAGTCGGGTCTACGTAACCGGAACGACTCAGATTTATATCTGGCCAAGGACTGTCACTCCAGCAACACTCCCCAAAAACTCTTTGGGGAACTTGTATTCTGCTACAACAACAACAACAAAATGTATGATTTTTATAAATTAAAGAAGCAACTTTAAAATAACTCCTCCAAAAGACCCCCTGAAGTACGCCCTATAAATCAATTTGTGCCACTCCATTCAAAACAGAAAGGGAGCAGGAATATAGACTGGAAGGCCTCTTGACTCTCAGGAAGGCTTTTCGGAAGGGCTTTTAACTCCTCAAATTATCTACGAGGATACTAAAATAACAATATGTACTGTATAAATTTGTAATATGTACGTACATATATGTAAATACATACTTATGTTGATGCTGTTAAGAATACAAACAAATGCATAAAGGGCAAGACAAAGTGAATCAACTCATTTTTTTCGTATCTATTGCAGAAAGTGGACGACTATTTGTTTGGGGAGAGAATTACTATGGCCAGCTGGGTATTGGTAGCCAATCGAATAACAACAACAACAACAATAATAGCAAAAGCAACAGTAACACAAGAAGTAATGGCGATATAATTACTAAACCCACTTGTGTAAAGTCACTGAAAACGTTGGGTTTGAAAATAGCCGACATCGCTTTTGGCAACGATTGGTCCATAATACTCACTCGTTCGTATTATTACACAATTTCGACAATCTATGAACCGCGTAGTTACTTATACCGTTTCGTTATTGCAGATTCAAACGAGTTATTCTTCAGTGGGCGCAGCGTATTTCCAGCTGAATCGAATGTAGCGCGTAATTTTACCACGGCCACAGTGGCGAATGAGCAATGTGAAATTATTCGCAAACCATTTCGAATCGATGAGTTGGACGATTATCTGGCAAAGAATGAGGACGCGGAGTGTTATACGAACGTATTGGCCGGCAATGAGCATTTCGTGCTAATGACTAGTAAGCCATTTGACATACTACGTACATATGTATCTATTTAGACGAGAATTTGTATTTAAACTAAGGTACTATAGTGTGTATGTACATATGTATGGATGTATATTTGTGGGCTCACATTTAAATGCTTTTACATGAACTCTGTATATTTCAGGCTTTGGGCGCCTCATTGGATGGGGCTCTAATCAAAACTACCAGCTAGGCTTGACCAAACATGATTCCGTGCAAATGCCCCATGAAATAAACCTGGGTGCGCCAGTGCAACAATTCGTGTGTGGTCCGGAATCAACGCTGGTGCTCACGACGACCGGAAAGCTCTTTTTCACCGGCCACCTTAACGAGTTTGTCTTTTCACAGTTTACTGAACTTCAGCAAAATCTCGCACCTACGGAACAAATCATTTTTATGCACATATCGAAAACGAATGAGATTTACATCGTGACCAATGCTGGTAGCATCTATCGCAGTATGGAGTCGTTGCGTACAAAGAGCTTAATATTTCAGCGGTTCTACGATTATGACAGCGAGGAAAACGGGCCGATATGGAAATTGTTGAAAGGATTCTCTTTCTATGCGGTTCTAACAAAAGCCAACAAATTTTACACTACATTCTCAGAGAGCGGTCATCACCTCAAAACGTTTCGTGAGATATCTAAATTCAAAAACTTACAACTTCTCGATGTGGCGGTGGGTAATCAGCACATATTAGTACATGGTTTACCACGAAATTCTACAATCTCGGCAGCTGTGGGACCTGGCTATGAACCGCATCGTTTCTCCAGCCGCACTTTCGTTATGCCTGCGACGCTATTGGATGGGCCTGCAGAAAGAAACCAAAAAAGGGAAAGCAAAACAGCAGCAGTTGAAAATAAATATAACGAAACGATTGAGAAGGATGCCGCGATGATAGCCGATGTTAATAGTAACACGATAAACATCGAAGGTGACGGCAAACTTGGACTAGCAGAAAAAAACAGAGAAACAGATACGACAACCAAAAACGATGTTGCCGAAGTGAAGGCGGAAGAATTTGTTTCTGATGAACTTGAAGTCGAAGAACTAACTAGGGAACATCTTAATGGCGAAATTTCTGGAAATAAAGACAACACCATGGGGGGACTAAATGAAAATAAGAACCACAGCGGGGATATAAAAGATACACATTTAATCACCTCCGCAGCTGTTATAGAGCATAATGAAGCAAGCTCACCCTCTGGATCGGAGAGTTCGAAAAAATCCAGACACTCAGTAAAATTCTCACCTACATCTGCAAGCAAAGCATCACCTATAAGTGACAAATTGTTGAGACCCCACACTCCCTACCCGGAAAGCTGCACAACGGCGAGTACACCGACGACTATCAAGAAAACACCATTACGTAACTATTCTTATGAAGCTGCCATGGAGCACGACCATATTGACAGCACCTCACCAGCTCTGATGGATAGCTTGGACAATATACCTGAAAGTACAGAGGCCGAAAGTGAGATTAGGGGTGTTAGTGTTAAAAATGGTAAGTTAATAACTCATAACACAATTCACTATAAATAATTGTTTTTTGTATTTCTTTGGTCGTGAAAGCACTCGCTTCGTCCCCTACACTCCCGTTTGAGGAAGACGAACAATTAACTGTAGAAATCAACACTACAACAGATCCACTAAACAGTACCATTGTCGTAAATGAAATTCGCTTCATAAACAATGGGGTCGACGTAACAGATAATGTTAAGGCGCAATCGTTTGAAAGAGATGACACTGAAAGCACTTTAGATTCTTTAGAAGAGCAAGCGGAAGACATCGATAGAAAGTCAAATGGAACACCGAATGAGATAGATAATAGTGCAAATACAGATGCGATGGAAACACATAAGACTCAAGTTGATGTCACGAGGATGAGTAATAAATTTAAAAACGCAGTAGATGAAATTGAGTCAGGTGTAGAAAACACAGTTCAGTCGCAAATAACCGAAATCAATGAAAATGTCACGATGAGCAAGGATATTTTATCTAAGCAGGCGGAGCATATTGAGGAAGACATAACATCGGAACGAACTGAGAAAGTAAGCAAGACATTTACTGACAAAATTGGAAACGCAACCAAGAAAGCAGCTGCCACAGCTTCCGATGTGCGCCACTCTCTGGAAAGTGCAGCAAAAGGTGCTACTTCAGGTGCGCTAGATGCTGTTGAATCGGTAGGAGAAAATGCTAAACATGTTGCTAATGATGCTATGAACACAGTGGAAGGTATAGGAAATAGCGCAAAAAAGGCGGCAACTGGAGCAAAAAATGCCGTTGGGAATGTGTTTATCAAGATGTCTGATGGAACCAAAGATGCTGTAGACTCTGTAGCAACCAAAATTGCTAATGAAGTTCAAAGCGCCAAAGAAAATATCAACACCATGTTGCAAGGTAAAGTCCTTAAGCCACCTCCCACTGAAGAAGATGCGGTGTCATCAGCATCGGACGTTGCATCTAAGGAAGGTGCTAAAACCAATACTACCACCGGTGAAGATGATGAACGCACAACAGCATCCGTAAATTCAACACAAAACTCGACTGGTAACCCTTTTGAAAATAGCAATCCCTTTGAATCTACGAATCCTTTTGACGATGTTATCGAACGTAGTAAAAAAGCACTACAAGACGAAGCTAATACTTTCCAACAAGAAGTAGTTCAAGATGCAGAGAAGGAGAAGGGAAAAGTACGACAGTTCTTTAGCGATTTTCGTGGAATATCCTGTCGAAATGAAAAATCGGTGGAAGTCGATGGTCAGTTGTTCAAAAGGCTAATATTGTTTACATATGTAAAAGACGACTTTATTATGTGATTTTCTATTTTATAGATGATCCTCCTCGGTATTCAGTGGAAGACAAGTACCCCACAACGCGTCGCGACAACTCAAAACAAGAAAATACGTCAAAAGTTTGCTCAATTTTGTAAATTCTCCTTAATATATCTTCAGTCTAATGTATGCATTTCTCTATTAGTTACTGTATAATATAATGACACAATTTATTATACAAATATCACGTATAAAAAGGCTTACCTTAAAAATTATACACGGTGAAATTGTAAATCAGATTTTACACAAAATTCGTTCAAATCAGCTGTTAAATAAACATAGCGAACTTAGCCGTGGTTTAAGGATACAACATAAAGATGGCATGCTAAACAGTTTACCCATGTATCGATCAAGGCGTATTCATATAAGGTGGTATCGATTCAACGAAGACAATTAAATGCGAAGGTACACAATATGCGTTGGCCGGCAAATGAGTCACGCCGACAATAGGCATGTTTTATTCAACCATCACAAGCAAGTAGCTAAATCTTGGTCAAATAAAACGAAATTAGCTTTTCTCCTTTTTAAGCCCATTTTTGACAGTTGTTTGACTGCAAATAGTGTCAAAGTAAGTTTTTGCCTCTTTCTGATTCGCTTAGGGAGAAAATTTCTGATGCTGAATGGCAATGCCTCTTGTTCAACATACAAGCCAAGATAGCTTTTCATAAGCCAAAATAATTCATTACAAAATAAGCTAATAGCTTAAATTTCTGGACAAATAAAATACGGCTAATGTCAAATAAAATTGAACACGTGCGTTTGTACGACAGCTGTTAAGGCCGGTCCACATAGAATTTTCGCGTTGCCTTTAGCGTTGGCGTTGGTTTGACAGAACGCACGTTTAAAGTATGTTTGCTACAATGAACGCCTGGCAGCGTATGCTTGGGCCACTTAATTAACACACTAACGACAGATAAATTAATATTTCATATCAATAATTGTATTAAAAACGATATTTCTTGCCCGCACTTGATTAAAAGGGAAAAATATTTCACATAATTTTATTTACTTGCGACAGCTGACGAGCAACGCACGCGAAAAGTTGAGAGTTGGCCATCATTTTGCTTTGTGTTGGCGTGAGTGTTGTCGGATTTCGGTTATGTGGACGGCTGCATTTGAATTCATGTATTCATAGTCAGCTGTTGAAGCGACGCCAACGCCAATTCAACGCCAAAGTTCTATGTGGACGGGCCTTTACAGACGACGCCGTTACATGAACCAATTAGAACAGATCTGACCGGTTGAGAAGCAGCCATTTGTAATAGCAATTGAGAAAAAAGTGTGTGACGTTCGTAATATTGAAGTTTGCTATTTCTGTTTTGCTCCTTTCTTTATGTGTATTTTGTCGGTGGTTTATTTCAGTGATTTTTAAGCAGATTTCAATAAATTTTTTGTGCAAATGTAATTAAAAAGAAGTACGCGATGATTGGAACACTACAAAAATAATAAATTGGTTAGCACAAACATGTGCTACAACATTGCTTGCATTTTTTTTATTTATGCTTCGTNTAGGGAGAAAATTTCTGATGCTGAATGGCAATGCCTCTTGTTCAACATACAAGCCAAGATAGCTTTTCATAAGCCAAAATAATTCATTACAAAATAAGCTAATAGCTTAAATTTCTGGACAAATAAAATACGGCTAATGTCAAATAAAATTGAACACGTGCGTTTGTACGACAGCTGTTAAGGCCGGTCCACATAGAATTTTCGCGTTGCCTTTAGCGTTGGCGTTGGTTTGACAGAACGCACGTTTAAAGTATGTTTGCTACAATGAACGCCTGGCAGCGTATGCTTGGGCCACTTAATTAACACACTAACGACAGATAAATTAATATTTCATATCAATAATTGTATTAAAAACGATATTTCTTGCCCGCACTTGATTAAAAGGGAAAAATATTTCACATAATTTTATTTACTTGCGACAGCTGACGAGCAACGCACGCGAAAAGTTGAGAGTTGGCCATCATTTTGCTTTGTGTTGGCGTGAGTGTTGTCGGATTTCGGTTATGTGGACGGCTGCATTTGAATTCATGTATTCATAGTCAGCTGTTGAAGCGACGCCAACGCCAATTCAACGCCAAAGTTCTATGTGGACGGGCCTTTACAGACGACGCCGTTACATGAACCAATTAGAACAGATCTGACCGGTTGAGAAGCAGCCATTTGTAATAGCAATTGAGAAAAAAGTGTGTGACGTTCGTAATATTGAAGTTTGCTATTTCTGTTTTGCTCCTTTCTTTATGTGTATTTTGTCGGTGGTTTATTTCAGTGATTTTTAAGCAGATTTCAATAAATTTTTTGTGCAAATGTAATTAAAAAGAAGTACGCGATGATTGGAACACTACAAAAATAATAAATTGGTTAGCACAAACATGTGCTACAACATTGCTTGCATTTTTTTTATTTATGCTTCGTCTTCATATTCTTTGCTTACTTTTCACAGAAAATAACATGGCTCCGAAATTACAAATGTCAGCCAGAAAATTACTTTTTTCTTTTGCTTCATCTTGTCAGATCTTATGTAGTTGTATTATGACGCCGTTACGAATGCGTTAACGCAGTTGCCGCCGAAAGTAAACCAACTCGCTACTTTTCTGTTACGTTCATGCGTTGACATTTGAAATTAAATTTGTGGATATGCGTATCAGCAGTTTTTTGTTTACAAATCAGTGAGCGGCACAACGCAAGGTGTGTAACATCATATTTTTCAACGTCGTCAATACACTAACGGATCAACGCAACGCCGCAGCAAATAAAATTATGTACCTTCAACTTAAGGCCGGTCCACATAGAACTTTCGCGTTGGCTTTGGCGTAGGCGTTAGTTTGACAGAACGCACGTTAAAGGTATGCTTGCTACAATGAACGCCTCGCAGCGAATGTTTGGGCATTAAATTAACATACTAACGACAGATAAATTAATATTTCATATCAATAATTGCATTAAAAACGATATTTCTTGCCCGCACTTGATTGAAAAGGAAAAATATTTCACATAATTTTATTTATTTGCAACAGCTGACGAGCGACGCCCGCGAAAAAATTTAGAGTTGGCCATCTTTTTGCTTTGTTTTGGCGTGAGCGTTGTCGGATTTCGGCTATGTGGATTTGAATTCATGCATTCATAGTCAGCTGTTGAAGCGACACCAACGCCAACGCAACTCCAAAGTTCTATGTGGACGGGCCTTTACTTGTATTTTTTGTTTGCTTTCAGCGGACCATTGTCAAATTTCAGCTTATCTTTCCGAATGAAAAAAAGTGACAGAAAATACGGCATAAGTTCAGTATAGTGGCCATTGAGATAAAACCAAAATTAAAATTGGGTGGTGTAGAGAATTATTTGTCAAAAACACTTGCAATTTTCTCGCTTTTGATGAACTTGACGCAAATGAATGGAGTAAATGAACTCAACTTAAAACGCAATTGATAGTTTTTATACATTTGTGATGTTTTAAGGGTAAATTTTTACGAAATTCTGTATTTTTTTTTAGTTATTTAAAGTTACTTCCTAATTCTTTATAAGAAGAATTAATTGGTCAGCAAAAAAGCTTAAAACGCTCCAATCTTGGATTAATTTATAAAATTAAAAATCAATTTCAATGTTCTTTAAAAAATTAGTCATAGATTTATATGTTATGCCATTAGTATTTTGATGAAATTCAATTAATGATGAAGTATTTTTGAGTATTGGGCATTTATCTCGTGAATTGTTATATTTGTTACATTGGAAAATTATATGTTCAGTATTTTCAACTGTATTACAAAATTCGCAATTTGGATTTTGAAAAATATTAATTTTTTAAAAATGTCTCCATGCAGAAAGTGTGATTTGTTAGAACTCTATTAATAGGTTTAACTTCTATTGGTGTCATTTTATTTGAATTTTTATGAAACCAAGGTTTACTCTGAATGTTTGGAGATATTTCTCCACAATATTTTCCTTTAGATATAATATTATTAGAATAAAATTCTTGCCACTCTTCATTTATTTTACTTTTAATTTCTATTATAGCATCTTTAACAGAGCAAAAAGTTTGAATTCTTTGTCCCTTCTGTAAAGCAGTGGAAGCTGCTTTATCCACTTCTTCGTTTAATTCAATACCACTATGGGCTGGGATATGATGTAATTCTAAAATTTCAATTGATGATTTATTAAGATCCGTTATCTTTTTTTTTTGCTATATAATTATTACAGTTCTCGTTTAGAAAGAGTCATTAGACTACTTAAACTGTCTGTAAGAATGGTAACTTTTTAAATTGATTAATTATTGAAAAATCAATTGGGGTGTTCACAGTTCGTTCCAAATTGTGTCTGAAAATGTAGACGTCTACATTTTGAGACATCTTTAGCATCAAACTGTGAGCACCCCTTTCTAGCAGTCGTCGCAAAATCGTCTCAAAACTTTGCTGGTGTTGCCAGACATTTCTTCCTTGCGTGCATTTTTTATATGTCGCCTTTCGATTTTGTTTCTGAAAAATTGTAATTATTTAACTTAATTACCAATTCGTAATATTTGTTATTTCTTTTCCTTGATTTGTTTCTTTTCATCAGAAATTGCGCTCAAATTAAATGCAAATACAGAAAACGTGCCCAATAAATAAAAAAAATGTGATTAGTATTGCCATAATGCAACCCTGCTGCGAGGTTGCAAAATGTAGACGCGTAAAAAACATACCTTTGAGTGTGACAAAATGTAGACGGCGTCGTTTTCCAATTTTGTATGGGAAACAACAACACCACAGATTTTACGGTTAGAAAACGTCTTAAAATGTAGACGTCTACATTTTGAGACACTATTTGGAACGAACTGTGAACACCCCAAATAATTTTATCAATCGCTAAAAGTTCAGTTTATATTGAAGTCATTTTTTTGTCACAGAATGAGGATTTTTCAGTTAAAGATTTCTCGTGTATAAAAGTAAAATGGGTTTGGTTATTTTTATAGAACCATCTGTATATATTACTTTAAAATTTTGTTGTTCAAGGTTTTTGAGTTTTTCAATATATAATTTGGGAATTAAATCTTGATTAGCAGATTTTTTATTTTGTATTGATCCTTTAAAAAAAGTTATCAAATCTAATTTTTGGAGAATTAAGGAGAGTATCTGGAACTAAAGCTATATTACAAAAAATTGATGTAAATTAATTATATATTTTAAAATAACTAGTTTTTTTATTAAGTTCATTTGTAAGAATTGTGTCTTTTCTTGGTAAATTATATGCAATGCATTTAGTTATTTCGTTAGCTGTTGTCAATTCAAAACGAAATTTTGATGGTAATTCTGATGCTATATGATAAATAATATGAGTAGGAGTATATCTAATAAGACCTAGACAACGCCTGATATTTGCATTGCAGCAAGTACGTATCGATAAGATCATTAAAATTTTTTGTTTTTGAGTTTTAATATGATCAGAAAGATTTTTTTTCTGCCAAAGCTAATAATTCACAATTTTGAATAGCTTTATATTGATGATATTTTTTACGAGGCGCATATCTCAATCTAAAAAGTTGGGAACATACTTATTTGAAGAATTTATTTTAATTATATGCTTTTTAATTATGTTTTGGCAAGAATTTGTAAAATCTTCTAAATTGTTTGATTCTTAATATGATTTGAAATTAGTATAATTGTGTTATGATTGCTGTTAGTTAATTTAGGTAATACTTGTTAATTATAATTTATGTTTTTATTAATAAAAGATACATCTATAGCTGAAGTTGAAAGGGTATTGGTAGAAAAAGTACGAGAACCGTCAGTCAGAAAAAAAAATTATAATCAGATGCAATATTTTCAAGGATAGTTCCTTTCTGTAATATAAATACGATGGAGGAAAACTGGTGTTGCTACTCTATAAAATAAAATGGAGGTAAATTGCTGATGGCACTCTAACCATGGCACTTATAACCCTCACTACATAGAACTTTCCTTTCTGTATTGCCAAATAAAAGGAGCTGAACACCTTTTGCAGAGAACAGCTTTCTGCGTAGGAGGCCTTCGGCCGCGCTTAGGGACTATAACCCTCACTACGTAGAATTCTCTCTTCTGAGTTGCCAAGAGAAGGGGCAGAACACCTTTTGCAGAGAAAACTTTTTTGCGTAGGCGGCCTTCGTCCGATCTTAGAGATTATAACCCTCACTACGTAGAACTCTTCGTTCTGCGTGCGAAGAAAAGGAACAGAAATCCCCTTTTCACAAAAGTATACTTCTTGTGCATTATTTGGGTGTTTTCGAAGTTGAAATACAAATTGTATTAATAGAGTGACAGCAACAGTTTTCCTCCATCTTATTTATATTAACTTCACCAGATTGTTTGTGCGGACTTTTAACACCGGAACTTTGCAATTAAGTACAGAATTTCGCGAAAATGTGCACTTAAAACATCACAAATGTACAAAAACTTATAAATACATGTTAAGTTGAGTTCATTTCCTCCATTTATTTGCATCAAATTAATCAAAACATAGTGCGAAAAGTGAAAGTGTTTTTTGGAAATAACTCTTTAATGAAATAAAAATGTTAATTTCCGATCTCGGATTATTATTATTGGCGTCAAGACGCGTCGATTGATACCACTCTCGGATTTTTCCGTCCGGTTTGACCTGGTTCCGCTAAAGTGCACTACTACCGAAATTAATAGGGGTGGAGCTAAAGGGGGTTCAAGGTAAAATTTTCAATATCTTCAAAAGCTTATATTTTCAAAACCGTTGCATTGATTTTAAAAATGTGGATATGGTGGGAAAGGTAATTGATAGACCTCCTATTTGAAATGCATACCTTATATTTTATATAAATAATTCAAGAAAAACTAAAAGCCGAAATTATAACCATTTTTTTTTTATCAAAATGCACGTTTTTCTAAAAAATGCGTAAGAGAAATACGGTTTAATTGGTATATTATTTTATATAGATAGGCTTAAGCGCATGTTGCCTGAGGCTTTTTTCTATATAAAACGGCAACACAAGAACGAAAATTTTACTTCCTGATGGTTATAATCCCTAAGTACGGCCGATGACCGCCTACGCAGAAAGGTGTTCTCTGCAAAAGGTGCTCAGCACCTCTTCTTCTGCAACACGAAAAGGAGAATTCTAATTCGTGGGGGTTATAATCCCGGAGCGCGGCCGATGACCGCCTACGCATAAAGGTGCCTCTGCAAAAGAAGTTCAGCCCCTCCTCTTCGGCAACACAGAAAGGAGAATTCTACTTCGTGAGGGTTATAATCCCTAAGTGCGGCCGAAGGCCGCCTACGTAGATAGGTGTTCTCCGCAAAAGGTGTTCAGCCCCTCTTCTTGGGCAGCACAGAAAGGAGAATTCTACTTCGTGAGGGTTATAATCCCTAAGTGCGGCCGAAGGCCGCCTACGTAGATAGGTGTTCTCCGCAAAAGGTGTTCAGCCCCTCTTCTTGGGCAGCACAGAAAGGAGAATTCTACTTCGTGAGGGTTATAATCCCTAAGGGCGGCTGTAGGTCGCTTACTCAAAAAGGTATTATCCGCAAAAGGTGTTCATCCCCTCTTCTTCTGAAGCACAGAAAGGAGAATTCTACTTCGTGTGGGTCATAATCCCTAAGTGCGGCCAAAGGCCGCCTACACTAAAAGGTGTTCTCCGCTAAAGATGTTCAGGCACTGTTCTTCGGCAGCACAGAAAGGAGAATTCTACTTCGAGAGGATTATAATCGCTAAGCGCGCGCGAAGGCCGCCTACGCAGGAAGGTGTTCTCCTCTAAAGGTGCTCAGCCCTCTTCTTCGGCAGCACAGAAAGGAGAATTCTACTTCGTGAGGATTATAATCGCTAATTCCGCCTACGCAGAAGAAGTTGCCTTTTTACCTGGCAACACAGAAAGGAGAATTCTGAGTAGTAGGGGTTATAATCCCTAAGCGCGGCCAAAGACTGCCTTCGGAAAAGGGTTTTTGCAACATAGCATACATTAAATAAAAGGTATTTTTATGCACTTCTAAAAATTGTATTTTTGCATATTTTTACACCATGGACCCAATAGTACCATTTTTGGCACTTTTGGCACAGTTCATCCTGTTCTGTCACAATCATAAATATAGAAATTTAGCATATAATGTCAATGTATAAAAAAACTCACACCACATTATAAACTAAAAAATTACAAAAAGTGCAATTAAAAGCCCTAAAAATTTAAACTAACATCTATTTAAAAAATTTTCGTACACCTTTTATATGGGAAAAAATGCATAAAATCGAAAACCTGTGTTCTCCCTAAAAATTCTGAATTCAAAGCTTGTTGCGAAAACCTGCTGAGTTTTTATAATATCTGTTCAAAGTTTGAAATGCCGATTTTTGTACATTTATTGTGTTTATTAAATTATGAGTTAGACTTTTATATAAAATCAGTCAAAAAATACTCAAAAAAAAAAATGGCGAAACTGGTCAAAATGCCTCATTACCATTATTTCGCATGTAGGTACTTACATATGTGTGTAAAAATGTCAGAATATCTATATTTGGGTATAGTTCCCGTCCGTAATAGGAATTCTGGAATTGGAATCCTTCATAAAAGTGATTTACTGGAGTAATTAATAATTATTGTATTACTTCAGTGTATTTTAAAAATATTATTTCTAAAAATATATTCCTTTTAAAACGTCTTAAAAGAAATTAAATTTGTGGCACTTTCATCTTCTTTTCGGCACTATTTTTGCAACCCATTTTGAATTTCATACCTGAGTTGAACTCAAAATCGCCTCGTGCAAACACCTTTTGAAGTAAAAAAATGCTCAGCTGTCCCATTCTTGAGCTGACCCGCTTTCACAAACTTTTTCTCAAAACCGGTTGCAAATACAAAGTCGAATTTATGCTTGATTTTGTATTATTGGTTGAAGGTAGCTAAAGCAACTCTACACACATCTTGCAATTATTTATCGATAAATCGGTTAAGTCAGAATACTTTCATCTGGCAGCTCCCTTGTTAACAAACAAACGTCAAATGAAAATTGTGTGTGTCTGGTGCTTGCGAACGAAGAAAAAACCCAACTCAATTTTGTAACTTCATATTTTTTGTACAAAGTAGAAAAATTTTATATTTTTCGAAAATTTTCACATTCTTAATAAATGAAGTGAATCCGCAAAGAGAGCGCGTAGAAAAGGGTATTCGCATATGAACTAATAGCACGGAGCAGGCATGAGTATTGCAAGTTGAAAAACTGAAAAGATGAATTAAAAGGGGGGAAATCGGAGTCTATTTTCACTGCATGTCCTCGCCAGGTGTTGCAAGAAGGTAGGTGGGTCAAATAAATGGAGTACTAGAGTTTAAAGATGTTTTGTGTAACAAGAGGTTGTGGGGTGGGATGAATTAGCGGCAGCCTACGCGAAGTTGCTGCGCTAAGCGGAGATGGATTTTTGTGAGCCGATCGCGTTTTGCAGTTGATGAATGGGGAAGTGTGTTCCTAACCTCAAACCAGCACAGTGTTGGTTCGGTGTATTGACAGCAACGAATCTCATCGGTAATTGTGTGAGTGCTATGTGTCGTTACGCGACGGGGTACGGTCGGTGTGCTATGCGATATGTAGTGAGCGTGCACCGTGCGGCTATTGTGGTGATGGTCGCACCGACGACGTCAACGGCCGAAGTGGAAAATCTACTTCACAAATCGGGTTTGTTGAATATATTCCTTTTTCTTAAACTTTTTCGATTCGCTAAAAACGTGATTGTGGCAATAACGATGGGATGGCACGGAATGATTGTACCCCGTGGATAGAGGGGGTCGCGCTATAATGTGTGTTTTTACCTCATTTCCCCCTTCAAATGTAATGGTGTTCGATTATGTGCACATGGCAGCGGTCACAGTGCGCTGTAACTTTGCACGGAGCCCACCTATGCAGCATACTCGTATTTGGCATTCCATTCAATATCATTTCAATACTTGTCTCTTCAGCTTCTCACAAATTTCGAAACTATTCAATAAATTTTTAGTCGCTTACTATGTTTTAAAAATTTGATCATACCAAAGGTTGGATCACTGTTGAAAGTAACCTAGCCACATGGTACAAACGCGACGTTGCTGACTTATCATCGTCACCACTTAATCGCCGTCGTCATAACCATAATCGTAACGTCTAACCTCAGCGAATGGCTCTGGTGTATTGTACATAATTTCTTTGGGAGTTTAGGGGCAGAGAAAGGCGACGATGTATGCATTTATGCAAATTTATCTTTTAACTAGGAGGTCAAAGCGAATACGAGCAAAAAGAAACTAATGAATATTCCAAAGCATTTCCAAAACTTCAAAATTAGCTTTGCCTTTTTTCTCCCGCTATATGCTGCTGTAACAACAACGTGGCGCTCTGCGAGTTATGCCACTCAGGTCTTCTGTATAATGGGAATATGTCATTAACGTATGTACATACATATGTACGTACGTACTTATGGTTCAAAATAGTTTCCACTTGGTTTAGTTACTTACTGGCCAAAATAATTTGGAATACTGGATGCATAATTGCCATGCAGCACTCAATACATAGCAATATGTCACTTATTTTTTAAATGATGTAAGAAAAAATTTATTGTCAACAAAAGGATATGAAATTCTTATCATGATTCTTACGTTTTATTGACTAATTTTTAAATAGTGTCACTCCATCACTCGCGTTTTTTTTCAGGAGTATTAATAAAACCTAGATAATTAAAGGTACCATTTATTCTTACTGAAATTTGAAATTATTTGAATTTGTGGAATTTTTAATTAGTGTCAGTCCATCACTCGCGTTTTATATTATCAGGAGTATTAATGAAACCTAGATAATTAAAGGTCACATTTATTCAATTTATTTAACACTTTTGGAATTTTTTTACAGATTTTGTATCCATACCCTCTCGTCAGCGATCTTTTGCTTTGCATAACGTGCAGCACACATAAATATAAAAATAAATACAGGTATATTTTTGCATTGAAGCCAAGTTAAATTACAATCTAAGACAATTCAGCTAATTAACGATCAAACAGCCACAACACAAATTGGTCGCAATAGTAGTGGGAACTATTTGAGCTGCACCAAAAACACCTGCGTATAAAAAGTCTAGCAATGCATATAAAAAATTTACAACACGCTCATGCGGCTTCGGCTGCTATGGGAGGAATTGTGATTGTGTCATCGTCGACAAATAATACCACAAATAATGCTAACAATAACAACAACAATACCGACAGCAGCAATAACAATAATGAAAACACCCAGGTAACACATCATCAGCAGCAGCAACAACAATCCCAACAACAGCAGCAGCACCAGGCCGCAAGTGCAGCAGAAATTCCGATTCCGTTCAATATGCATCTGACTGCAGCTAATTCAGAAGCTCATGTTGCAGCGCAAGCGGCAGCTATGGCTGCAGCACAAGCAGCTGCCGCACAAGCCGCCGCAGCTGAGCAACAGCAAGCGGCAAATGGTGGCAATGGAGGAAATGGAGCTACCACTATATTGCAGCAACATCCTTTAGCGCACCTAGTAGCCACAGCGGCTCATAGTCCAGCGCTCTCAGAGCACCAATTTCCGGCGGGGCGCGAAGTGGTAGCCAATGGACATAGCGCAGGCAGTAGTGCGAGCGGAGGAGGTGGTGGCGGCAGTGGCGGCGGCAGCGGAAGCAGCAGTGGGGGCGGCCATGAAAAACCTTTCCTTTGTAGTGTATGCGATCGGCGGTTTCGGCAATTGAGCACACTCACTAATCACGTGAAAATACATACCGGAGAAAAACCATACAAATGCAACGTTTGTGATAAGACCTTCCGTCAATCGTCCACTCTAACAAATCACCTTAAGATACACACTGGTGAAAAGCCGTTTAATTGCACCTATTGTCCGAAGAATTTCCGACAGCTGAGTACACTAACGAACCATGTGAAAATCCATACTGGTAGGTATAGATTGGTCATTGGTATCACATAAATAACAAGTAATTTTTAACCCTAGAATACTAACCTTTATTTTTATTCCCGTAATACTAACGTTCGACTGTGAGACTACTTTGAAAAAAAGTACAAATTTTGTCTTTTTAAAACCTTAAATTTATTTAAAAAATAGGCTTAAATATATGTCATATGTTTCTAAAGTAAAAAATAGAATGATTTAATATTTTTTAATATTAATAAAAATAGTTCGTATAACACATATTTCATCATCTTTTTGAAAGGGGTCATTTAAAAAAATATATAATAAAATATTTTAAAGCGAACGAATTCAAACAATCCATAAATTATCTTAAAGTTATTCTTATTTACTGTCACACTTAATAGGAATTAATTGTTTTTCTTTTCCATTGTGACTTGTACCTACAAATGAAATCGACTTTTTTGCATCTCATTGGGCGTTAAAAATAAAAACTAAGCGATTAGTTTTTCTTAAAATTTCAGACCTACGTAAATTTATTTGAATAAATCTAGCAAAAGGTTTGAAATCTTAAGAAAAAGTAACTGCTTATTTTTTTATTCATAAGGCCCATTCACTGAAATCTTCTTCGGAATTGTCCCCACTATCATTTCCATTGAACGATATTTCTTCCAACCATTTTAGAACTTGTTCTTCATAGGTACCCCTCTCGAAAATAAAAGAAAAATAAAGTTCAAAACAAAAAATAGCCAACAAACATGTTCAAAGCTGAAATAATAATAATAATAAAATCGCTCCTGAAATATCGCGAGAAAACTGAATTCGTTCCGCCTAACAGGCGAACGTTATTGTTCTACAAAAAATACACTTTCTTTTTTCTCTCTATTTTAGGTGAAAAGCCCTTCGAATGTGCCGTTTGCAAGAAACAATTCCGTCAATCCAGTACTCTCAATAACCATATAAAGATCCACGTCATGGACAAGGTGTACGTGCCAGTTAAGATAAAGACGGAGGAGGAGGAAGGATGACTAGAGGATATGGTGATCGCAGGCACCCATCAGCGGCCTGCGCATCACCATCGTAATGTAATCACAACAACTATACAGGCACCAGTAACATCAGCGGCTGCAGTAGCTGCCGCCGCTGCTGCAGCCAACCACCATCAACATCAACAACTGCATCAACAACACCAACAACAACAACACCAGCAGCAGCATAACCACTCCAACACTCCAAATAATGGCAACACGATAATAGCAACAGCCGCTGCTCCGTCCAATGCAATCGAACATTTTAACGTTACATCTATTGGGGAATTGTCAAACGTTCAATTGAGCAGTATCAATGCGCAACTAGTGGGTGGCACTGTCACCGCCGATGGCAATCTAGTAACCATGGGAGGTGTTGTCATCGGACGCATACATCCGGCATCTCTGCAAAGCAATGGGCATACACTACAACCGCAATTACGCACTACAGCACAGCCGGCTACTCGAGAGGAGCTACAGCAGTTGGGCGTGATTAAGGTAGAGTCGCCAGCCGCTGAGTTTCAGAATGAAGGATGAGTCGAGTACGAGTTACTGCTTGAGTACATGCTCAAGGAGGACGAGGAGGACTACGCAGCCGCTTGCAATGAGAATAAAGTAAATGCTTGCAGTGACATATTAAAAGATGGATTAAAGACGAATGAAATTTGTAGTGACAGGGCTGCCAGTGGTGAAAGTGCTGGTAAAGGCACGCTTACAAGTGCGTGTGACGCTGATAAACAAAATTAGAGCGAGTTTCTTTATCTTGCAGTTGTAGTTGTTGTTGCTATTGTTGCTAGTTATTTAAAAAGATATACAAAAGTAAAGAAAAGCTAACTAAATAAATATCATATTCACTTGAATACATTTGCTATCAAACATCATCGTCGTCATCATACTGAAAATGTAAAACTGACATCCTTGAAATCCCAATTACCAGACAAAAACTAAAATCATTACACTGGATTAAATACACATGAAATAGCTTGGGATTGCGGATGCTTTTTGAAACGTAAATATTTAAAAACAAAATTAACGAATCAATTAGAAATACTAAAAAATATGAAAATCAAAGAAAAATCAACCTCTGTAGTAGTTAAGTCTGAAAGTAGCAACAAACATGATAAGAAAGCAGAATAGAAACAAAAAAGTTAAATCTAAAATTTAATTTTAATAATAATAGGGGAAACTTATTTTACGGGGGTTAGTAAAAAGATCAAGCACAACAAATGCTTAAAAATAATTTGCCGTGCTTTTTGAGCAAAGATGTGTTATGAAGTTTGTTAGAAATTCTAAACGATGAGATATAACATTGAGTTCATGTTAAATAAGCTTTCATAGGGAAATACCAGGTTGTTTGATCCACTTTAGTGTAGTATAACTTCGCGATAAACAAATTGTTTCTAAAGTATAGCATTAAATTTCTGAAAATATTGTCATGGTTTGCGTCCTTCTGCTCTTACAAATCAACTCTGAATTCATAACAAAATTCATAGCATATTGACAACTCAAAAATCTGGTAGAATAATTGTAATTTAAATTTACTAGGAAGGCTTACTTTGTATTTTAGTTTAATAACACAGCAAATGAGACTTGTTTGTACTTGAAGCTAAAAACTACTTTAGAATAAAAATGCCTAAAAGAAGTCAAAGTGGAGGAAATTTCTGTATAAGATGAAATTGCTTTTTGTTAACCTTTTTTGGCATAAACAACAAAATTATGGTGAATATTTGTTTGAATTGTATGAAACATAACCTTCTTAAGGCAAATTTTAATTTATTACTAAGTTTAGACTAAAGTTTTTGAATTTTTGTAGATATAAAAGTTACTAGTATTTCCACAATTTTGTTGGCTTATGAAATTATTTTAAATTATTTCATATATGCCAGCGTGTGTGTATATGCGCAATGGAGATGTGAAAATTATTTGAAAATAATAGAAATTTAAATGAAACTAAAAAAACGTTTATTCTATTTTATAGCAATTTCATGTTACTCCAAAAAAACTGATATAAAACTACTAAAAGAATGGTGAAACAAAACAGATGTATATACAAATGCAGTAAAATACGTTTTAAAAATGTTTAAGAATTTCGTTGCAACTTGTTATTAGTCAACATCTAAATCTGTTATGATTTACCTTCCCGCAATTTTTGTAAATTTTATTCTCTTGAATGGGATATGGGAAATTTAAGTGGTTCATACGAAATTAGTAGTTTTCGGAAAATTCTTAGTTTGTTTGTATTTCACTAAATCGGAGTATAATATATGCACAAAAGTGTATACAAAACTGGTACGTTTAAAACAAGTGCAGATATTTGGGATCATCACCTTTGGGCCTGTAAAATAAATTAGATATTGAGTGGCATAGAAAGCTTAAAACTTTTAAAAAGTTATTGCGCATGTGCCACACTTCAACGTCGTCGTAGATACATGCATACATACATATGTATAAACATATATGCTAGTAGGTGAATTGTCTGTCGCGCCATACAGACATATAAGTCATTTATTGTGAGTGTGCATCGCCTAACACAACAATCGATTAAGAAGATAATACATATATGTATATGATGAAACAGCTTATCAAAAACATGTAAATGTAAAGGTACATTTATGAATTTGATTAAATACCATGTACATCATATTAACAAACATCAAAGTGTGTAAAGAAAAATGTTGTAAACGCATAATTAAATAATTAAGAAAGCAAGAGGTAAAACTTTAGTGGTATTTGTAAGTTTTGTTATACGAGTATTTTAGGTGGACGCCAAGTAGGCAGCGTGGAGAGTTATACATACGTCGTATGAAGGGCTGCGAAGTGTCAAGGTATGATCGCGAATAGATATAGAAGAGGAAAGACTCGTAATTTCGATTAGCCGAAGCTTGAAATTACGGTTAGTCGTCATCTCATTTGACGTTGTGATTGTCAAAGGGATGGACACAACTGAAAACTGAAACTGATAATAATAAATTCTAATAATATTATTAATTAAAAAACTAGCACTGCGATGCCTAAACGTTTTCCTTTTATTTTGTAAAAAATCGTAAAAGTTACTTTAGACAATTGCTTACTTGTAAACATTATTACACATACAATTTAAGTACGAAGACATGTATATGTTAATACTTTCCGATTGTAAACAATACAACTTTTGAGACTATAAAAACTCACGAGAATACACAAAGATTACACCTTTCGTTGCGTTCTCTTTTATTTTAAAGTTAAGTTTCAGCGTCAATTGTGAATAGTATTAAAAATGTCGTTACATATTTACACATTATGTTGTTTATTGGGACAATATTTGGGTTTATCAGTGACACGCTAACACCATCATAATTTAAAAACTAATAGATACCTAGCAGCTAGCAGCTAGCAATTTTACCAAGATATGTATGTACGTATGTGTATATATGTAAAAATATTAAATCGATTTGGAACATATTAGAACCAGCCGTAGTAAACCAGCCGTTGACAATATGCTTATTTGAAAATTAATACATGAAATATTGTGAATGCATAGGATTTTTTTGTCATTAACCCATGGGCAACGACTGATGCAAAAGTACCCACAAACGTTTTTTGATATATTTGAAATGTAAATTTGAACAGCAAAATTCGTAAAAAAAAAAATAATAAAACAAAAATATTTTTGATAACTACGTGGGAGGTTGGCGTGGTTATTGGCAGATTTCGACAAAATTTAACACTAACCTAAATTATACCAAAGGCAACTTCGAGGCCGACTTTCGTTAAAATATCTAAATTTTGTTCGAGTTAGCGTGCTTACAAACAGAGAGGGCTGAACCAATTCGTGTTGTCATTCGGAATATTTTGATATATACGTATGCATATGTGTATATATGTACATTAGACTGCATCACTCCCCATACAAAAAAAATCGGTGCTATTTTTCCATTGGAATTATAAAATCTATTATATTTTAAGACGTCCACTGAAATATTTTGGAAAAATATTAAGATTTAAGTGAGCTGGACCGATTTGAAAGTACCTCTAAAAATGGAATTTTATATGAATAAAAAAGTTTCTTAAAGGTTTTTTTTTTGAAAAAATGCCCTCAAATGTCAAAACGGTTTAAGCTTAAAAAATTTGCATTTCATCTTAGGGGACTTTTTTCAAAAAGTTCTTTGAAACTAGTTTTATCCATAAAAAAAACTCCATTTTTGGAGGTATTTTCAAATCGGTCAAGCTCACTAAAATCTTAATATTTTTCCGAAATATTTAGGTGGACGTCTTAAAATATAATAAATTTTGTAATCCCGGTGAAAAAACCGCAACTTTTTTTTTGGTGATGCAGTCTAATGTACATACATACATCTTATACGGTTAACAAAAGCGTTTGCTTATCTGCATAAACCGTCTTTACTTGCATTAATTCATGCATTATCCTCTTTCAAATGTGAATAAGCGGCTGAACAAATACATAAAAATTTCGTGCATTTGAAAATTAGAGTTCGACCTTAAGCAAAGTAATACTTGTTTTACCGCCTCATCGATGGGACCATTTTACAAAGTCAGCCCACCACTATTCACTCAAAGTTGTGTTCGGAACACGGTCATAATCGCTTACGCTTCACGCTTGATTTGCTTGGAATTTGGTTTTTCTCGTTATTTTATTTTATGTGACTTGAAAATATTTTTCAATATAAGGAAATATTTAAATTGGATTTCATTTGGGTTAACGAAAACAACAACTGTGAAAAAATATCAACCAATACATTCAAACAAAATGTAAAATAAGCATATTTATATTTTTTGTTTTGGCTATCTGGATTACTGTATACTGTTTGTATTACTTACTTGCACAAATTTTAGGATCTACATATGAAGCCTGGCCGAAAATTAAATTAACTAGCCAATCAGCCTTATTGCGAGAGTCGTGTCGAATGCTAGTCGTTTTTCGAGAGTTGAATCGTATCGAAAATTTCATTTCATGGCCTATTATTTCGACTCGACTAGTCTATTAAAACGGAAAAACTTGGCAGCACTGCATAGTTTTCGACGATTTTCGTCGTTTACTTATGTCAGCATGACAGTAAACAATGCTAATGTCGAGTCGTATAATTTACCCCAATTTACGACTTACGCAATGAGGCTGAATAATTTTTTTTTAGACCCCACTTCAACTCTGTTCTTCCGATAAATGAGTATTTCGCGTAGTTTAATTTAACCATTTCACGTTTCCATTTACAGTATCGGTGATATCAATAGCACCCCTATTTGCAAGTCATTCATATTTATTTATTTATTTATAGCGTTTCTTTTGGTACCGAAAAATGCTGCCTTCTCTACAAAATTTTTTGTATAAAAGAAAATACCATTAGTTTTAAGAATTTTCAATTAAAACACAGCTTATTATGTAACAAAAACCCTTACAACTTTGTAGAAAACAAAAAAAAATTAAAAAAAATTGTCATCCAAAGTTCAAAGTTTTTCCTCAGAAGTGTTATAATTTTTTGAGTATACAGTTCTATAGCCCACTAAATTTAACTAATTTTGATTTTTTAGAATTTGCTATGGTTGAATGCCTAAAAAAATTTCCTCATCAAAATAAAGCGTATTCCTCCAATCAGCATTTCGAAAATATTTCATTTTGTAGTTTATCTCGTTCCGAATTGCTAATAAGATTTTGATTGAACCACTTTTCATTATCATATTTTTTTTAAGTTAATCCTTGTGTTTATGAAACTCCAAAATTTGCTTTTAAAATCTGGATTAAAACATTTCCTTCAGCTAATTTGTCCAATAATTGGACTTGAAACACATTTTCTATGCAAAATTAATGGGAGTTGAAAACAAGTCATAAGCCATCTACAATGCCGGCATAGTATACTGGACGGTAAAAAATAATGAATGGGCGGTTCATATCCTCTCTAAAATGTGGGGTGGGAGGCGCCACGGTCCCTTACCCTTCGACCACCGTCCCCTTAACCAACGCCAATAATGGAAAGCCAACTCAAAATAAACACTTTTTAGTTACTTATGCAGAAATGGACGGCAGCTTCTCTTACGTATGTTGAGCTAAAAATTCATAACGAATATAAAAGCAAACAATCACTTTTTGACAAAGTAAAGGCACAACGCATAGACTGCTGAGAGCTCCTATATATCCTCCGGAATATATTTTAAAAATACTATACTTGTTTATTATTTATTTTTGGAAAATAGATTTTCATCACTGCATTTTTTTACCGGAACTCTATATAGTTGGAAAGGACTTAATTTTTCATTGTTCGTTCTTTCAAATTCTTAAAAAGTATGGGCATGATAAATATGAAAAAAAAATTGAAATCATGGAAAAGGTTGTGTAGTTGTACATACTACTTTGTAAATTGTCCATTTCCTAAAATGTTTGATACCAAACTACTTAAATTCATTAAAGAGGTAAAAATACTTTTTAAACGATATTTTTTCCTAAACTCCCTAAGATTTGTGTGAAAAATACTTTTGAGTTTCAACTTTCAACATTTTTTGAAGTATAGTATCGGTAACTTCATTTAAAAGTTCATACATTAGACAGGTGCTAATGATGGTTTTTATTCTGGTACTGTTGGTAAACTCTATACCAAAGTTATTAACGATCCAGTGGAAGTTACATTTTAATCTACCAATTTGTGGATAATTTAAGCGAACCTAATGAGATTTTTAAGCGCGTTCTACCACGCGGACTGACCGTGATTCGATTCCTGCCCGACCAACATCAAACGTTTTTTCCAATAGCGTTCGTCTCCAGCAGGCATTGGCAAATCACTGAGTGTATTTCTGCCCAAAAAATAAAAAATCCCAACAAAAAATAATTTGCATATGGGTCATTCCATTTGGACTTGTGGGACATGTGACTCCGGAATTTGATAAACATGAAACATGAAACATGCCAGAAACATGAATGTGTAAAAACTTAAATTTTGGGAAATCAAGTTTGAAAGTTTTTTATGAATAAGGCCATTAATTTTTAAGTAAAATTTTTTTCTTTGTATATACAGTGACCCAAATAGATACATATATGTATATAAACTGGAACGCGACATTTTAGCCAGTTTTGGCTATTTTCCTTTAGTTTATTTATCTAATGTTTATTATTATTATTTTTTTTATACAAGTGTAACTGATTATTTAACAAACACCATACGAATCCAAATTTTAGACTATGCCAAAATGAAGAAATTTCTAACTTTTTAATCAGCATTTTTAGAAAAAATTTTGGTATGCAGTTTTGCAGTCCGCTAAATTTTAGTGTACATAGTATGTATATACAGTACACCAAATTAAAAAAAAAAACAAGTAAGAAAGTCTAAGTTCGTGCGGAGCCGAACATTAAATACCCGGCGCAAGTATTAAATATATGTTTTTTCACCTTTCCGAAACCTTCCGCTAGATGGTAAGCCGGGGTGTATCAATTTTGAGTAAATTAGCGTCCTTCAATTTCGAAATATTGAAGTTTCAAGCATTTCTGAAATTTACCGTTATATGAGAAGCGGCCGTTATTTTAGTCCGATTTCAATAATTTTCAACGTTTTGCTTATATGTGGCAAGCACAATAACCATACCGAGTTTGGTACAAATTGGTAGAACGGTTACCGATATACATATATGTGATCATAAGTGGGCGGTGCCACGCCCATTTTCCAAAATTTTACCATAAACGTATTTCTTGGTAAAGAATTGTTGCAAGCATCAATTTTGAATAAATTAGCTTCAATATTTACTGATTTATCGAAGATTTTGTATTTCTCTAAATTACCGTTATATGGGATGTGGGCGTGGTTATTGTCCGATTTTAAAAAGTTTCGGCGGTTTTTTATGCTGTACCAAGGCCAACAACTGTGCCAAGTTTGGAAGAAATTGGTGCAGCGGTTACCAAGATATACACATGTAACCATAAGTGGGCGTGGCTACGCCCATTTTCCAAAAATTTATAATATTCTTATTTTTCGTCTAAAACTTATTGTAAATATCAATTTTGAGTGAATAATCTCCAGTAGTTACTAAAATATCGCAGTTTTCGTATTTCTGAAAATTACCGTTATATGGGAAGTAGGCGTGGTTATTGAGCGATTTTAAAAATTTTCGGCCATTTAGTATGTTATGCGAAGGCCAACAACTGTGCCAAGTTTGGAAGAAATTGGTGCAGCGGTTACCAAGATATACACATGTAACCATAAGTGGGCGTG